CCAGGATCCCTGAGACCCGCTGGCATGAGGGAGGCAGATGGAGGGGCTTCTGGCAGCCAGTGTCATTAGAAGGCAGATGGCTGCAGTGTGGCCGAGGGGTCACCCGGTGTTTGCTGCCCTGTGGGGCTCAGGCTGGGCTGGGCTGGGCTGGGCCGGGTGGGCTGGGAGGGGAAGGGCGAGGTGCAGTGTGGGCTGGGAAGCAGTTTCACGGGTTGCCCAGACCCCTGAAGCCCGGAAACGTCCCCGAGAGCCCGACCTGCCCACCCTGGAGACTGTGCAGGGGAAAGGGTAGGAGACCGCTCCTAAGCTGACCCCCGGTTCTCCTCGCAGGCCAGTTCCCGCTCGATTTTTTCCAGCTGGGGGCCGAGATGAAGGTGTGTGGCCCCTGGTCCCAAGTGCCCTCTGCCCCCCACTGGGTTTTGTGGGGGATGGAGACAGGGAGGGTGGGAGCTGAACCCTCTCCTACGGGGCTGTGGACACTCCCAGCACCCTCCCTGCCCGTGACTGCTGCCCCCCATCTCTCTCCACCTACAGGGCGAGAAGGGGGACCGAGGGGACGTGGGGCAGAAGGGGGAGCGAGGCGAGCCCGGCGTGGGTGGCGGATTCTTCGGCTCCAGCGTGCCAGGCCCTCCCGGGCCCCCGGGCTATCCTGGCATCCCGGTGAGTCTGGGCCCAGCCCTGTGTCAGAGCCTGTCATGGGGTCCTGGACCCCACAGGGCCAGGTTGTGCCCTCTGGGGCACACACAGCTCTGGAGGCGCCTGCGTGGCATGCTTTTCTGGCACCTCTGACAGGTGGACGCAGCACCCAGTCCTGCAGTTCAGACCCTGGCCCCTTCCCCAGCCCCCACCTACCCCAGGGCACCAGGGGACAACCTCTGACTTCCTTATTCATCTCTAGGGTCCTAAGGGAGAAAGCATTCGGGGCCAGCCTGGCCCACCTGGACCTCAGGGCCCCCCTGGCATTGGCTATGAGGGACGCCAGGGCCCACCTGGCCCCCCTGGCCCTCCTGGGCCCCCCGGCCCACCATCATTTCCTGGGCCCTACAGACAGAGTAAGTGGGTGCTTGCTGCAGGGGCCTGGGGGCAATCCACAGTAAGTGGGTGCCCGCTGCAGGGGTCTCGAGTGGGGGCAGTTGCCCATCTGCTCCTTCTCTCTCCACAGCCATCAGTGTCCCAGGGCCCCCTGGACCCCCCGGGCCCCCTGGGCCCCCTGGAAACATGGGCACCTCCTCGGGGGTAAGCAAAGATTCATCACTCTGCCCTTTGGGGGCTAGTGGAGGGGCAACTGAACCAGCACCCAAGCCAGCGTTGCTGAGGAGACAGCCAGTGGAGGGCAGCTTCCAAAGTGGGGTGTTGACTGATACACCAGGAGTAGCACTCCACATTGTATGGGATGTAACATAGAAGACAACCAATCTCGATTAAGAAAATATTAACACACAAGGCTTAACCTGTAATAGCAGGTTATTAATCTTTTATGCAAGGGTTTATTGCTACAGGGTGAGATACAGCAATCTTCACATACTTCTAAGGAAATGTTTTTTGATCATTTTTAGCAAATTATTCATAACAAATATATAATAAATTATTTAGGGCCTCCTATTGGGGCAGGCTTGGGTGGGGAAATAGTGGTGGTGGGAAGGCGTGATGATGGGAGAACTGGATGTTAAATGCAATAAATTATCGTGAACAACTTTTAAAACAAGTGGAGTGTTGGGGATCCCAGAGAGAGACGTGGGGGGTCCAGGGGGTGAGCAGGGTGCCTCCCACATGTGCAGACCCCAGAAACTGCCCGCACTCACTGTCCATACCCAGCACCTCACTGGCCCCAGTGCAAGCCGTGCCCCGCTGTCAGCACCAGCCCAGCCCGCCCCTGGGTCTGCCTGCAGGTGCGCATCTGGCCCACGTACCAGGCCATGCTGGACACTGCGCCTGAAATGCCTGAGGGCTGGCTGCTCTATGTGGCTGATCGGGAGGAGCTATATGTGCGTGTGCGGCGTGGCTTCCGGAAGGTTCTGGTGAGCTGCCTGCCGGGCTGGTGGGGGAAGGGGTAGGGGGCTGGGATGTGAGTGCATGTGGGGTGAGGTGCAGGATGCAGGGCTGAGTGTGCATGTGGGGTGTGGTGTAGGATGTAAGGCTGATGTATGTACTCATGCAGGGGTGCGTGTGGAGATGCGGGACACGGGTGCTTGTTGGGTAAGGGACGGGTGCATGTGGGGTGAAGTATAGGATGTGGACCTGTGGAGGTGTGGGGTGCAGGTGTGGGGTGCAGGGGTGCGTGGGGTGAGTGTGGGGTGCTGGGGTGCATGTGGGGTGAATGCATGTGGGGTGAGGTGTAGGATGTGGAGCTGGTGTGAGTGCAGGGGTACGTGTAGGGTGAGGTGCAGGGGTGTATGTGGGATGAGGTATATAGGATGTAGAGCTGGTGTGGGGTGAGGTGTGGAGTGCAGGAATGTGGGGGATAAGGTTGGTTTGAGTGTAGGGTTGGGGTGTGTGGTTGCAGGGGTGGGTGTGTGAGAGCACAGGGGCACAGGCCTAGCCCTGTGCTATTCATCAGCATTCCTGTGGGCCTTGAGAGGTTTAAGGGTATGGCGACACTCAGTTTAAAGTAAACGGATGAAGGTCAAGAGAGGTGCTGGCTGGGGCCATAGCGCAGTGGGGAGGGCGCTTACCTTGTTTGCGGCTGACCTGGGTTCCATCCCTGGGCATCTCATATGGTCCCCGCCTGAAGTGATGATCCCTAAGTGCGGAACCAGGAGTCAGCTCTGTCTGAACAAAAATAAAGGGGGGTGCTAGCTCAGCCCGTGCACTGGGTGAGCGGGTCTTGTGTGGGCGGGCCCAGGGCCTGGAAGGGGCGTGGTTTGTGGTGGTGGAGCTAGGAAGGGGCGGGTTTTAGTGTGGGCGGGGTTTTGGAAGGAGCGTGGTTGGGGTGGGGCTAAAGGGGCGAGTTTTAGCATTGGGCGGGGCTTCAGGAGGGGGCGTGGTTTGGTCAGGACTTGGAAGGGGTGGGTTTCAGCATAGGGCGGGGCTCTGGGAAGGGGTGGGGCTTGGGTTGTGGTGCACAGGTCCCTGGGGTGGGACAGCAGCGGAGCCTTTAGGTCTGAGGTGCCTGGGGTGACTCTGGGGTGACTCTAGCTTCTTTTCCAGCTGGAGGCGCGAACGCCACTGCCCCGAGGGACGGTAAGTTTCCTTTCCTGATGCCCCCTCCAGGCCGGGCAGGCTGGGGCCTTACCTTCGCGTTTCCTTGACTCACCTGGTGGTACTTGCCATACTCTGGAGACTCCAAAGACCTGGGGCGTGCCTCGCCATTGGGCCTGCTCCCCGCTGGGGACTGGTGCATGCACGAGGAGGGAAAGAACCTGCGGGGTGTGGTCTCCCTGGACAGGGCTGCCCAGTGTCCACTTGTGCTGGCCTGTGTACCCAACGGCCATGCTGCCCTCCCAGCACCTGGCATGGGGCCGGGGACCTCGGCCTCACCTCGGCTGTTGCTCTGGGGGGGCTCCTGTCCCTGCCCCCGAGTCATTTCCCGGGTTACCGGGGGCTTCCGTGCCTGACTGGGCGTGGGGTGCACCCGCGGGAGCCAAGGTCAGCTGGGTGGGGGGCGTGCTCGCGGTGCCACCTTGTGGGTTCTGCAGGACAACGAGGTGGCCGCGCTGCAGCCCCCGCTGGTGCAGATGCAGGAGGGGAACCCTTACCCGCGGCGTGAGTCCGCGCCCTCCACCGTGCGACCTTGGCGCGCCGACGACATCCTGGCCAGCCCGCCGCGCCCGCAGCCCTACCCCGGTGCCCCGCACCACGGTGCGTACGTGCACCCGCGGCCCGCGCGCCCCACCGGTCCACCTGCCCACGTGCACCTGGACTTCCGGCCCGTGGTGAGTGGGCGCGGGCGGCCCCCCGGGCGGGGCTGCGGGCTGGGGCGCGGAGGTGCGGGGCCTGGCGCTGACCCGTGCATCCCTTAGCTGCACCTGGCGGCGCTCAACAGCCCGCAGTCGGGCGGCCTGCGCGGCATCCGCGGCGCGGACTTCCAGTGCTTCCAGCAGGCGCGCGCCGCGGGGCTGAGCGGCACCTTCCGCGCCTTCCTGTCGTCGCGGCTGCAGGACCTGCACAGCATCGTGCGGCGCGCCGATCGTGACGCCGTGCCCATCGTCAATCTTAAGGTGCGCCCGGGACCGGGGCGCGCGCCTGTGGGGTGGCCCGAGTTGCAGCCCGTGACCCCGCGCGCTCCTCCCCACAGGACGAAATGCTCTTCTCCAGCTGGGAGGCCCTGTTCTCCGGCTCCGAGGCCCAGCTGAAGCCTGGCGCGCGCCTCTTCTCCTTCGACGGCAAAGACGTCCTGCGCCACCCCGCCTGGTAGGTGCCCGCGCGCGCGTGACCGGCCGCCGGCCTGTACTCTCCTGGAATGTTGGGGCTCCCACCGGCCAGGGTTCAAAGCTAGCGTGATCCAGCCGCGGGGATGCATGCCCTGGGGCCTGACAGTGCGGGGGTGGGGGGGCTGATGGGACCCCACTTTGCTATGAGCCCACGTGCTGTGTGCGGGCCGGCTCACTGTGGGGCACAGCATGGCCCGGTCAAGGACACTCAGCGCAGCTTGGTCAGGCACCTTTCCCACCGCGTGACACGGTGTGTCCCGCAGGCCGCATAAGAGCGTGTGGCATGGCTCCGACCCCAGCGGCCGCCGGCTGACCGAGAGCTACTGTGAGACATGGCGGACGGAGGCAGCAGGCACAGTGGGCCAGGCATCCCCGCTACAGGCAGGCAAGCTGCTGGGACAGAAGGCAGTGAGCTGCCACAGCGCCCTGGTCATCCTCTGCATCGAGAACAGTGTCACAAGTGCTGCCTCCCAGTAGGACAGACAGACAAGACAGCCCAAGAGCTCTCAGAGCCAGGTGTGGTGTGGCTGCACCCGCAGGGCAGGGACCTGGCTGGGCCCACCTCCCTGGAGGTCACACTTCACATACCCTCAAGAATAAAAGCCAAAGAGTATTTTTCAAAAAGTTTAAAACACCCTGATGTTAAAAGTTTCTCCCCCATTCCCAAGGCACCCTTCCACCCCCCACAGCGGTGGGCCTGCACTGGCCAGTAGCAGGGAATGGGCCTGTCCAGGCCCACCCCAGGAGAGCGGGTCCCCCTGGACACCCCGCTACCCCCTGGGTGGTAGCCCAGCAATGGCAACAGGCCTGGGGGGTGGCCCAGAGCATGAGTGTGGGGCCCCAACTGTGCTCCATGCCCAGGAAGGACACATTGTGGCGTTGTCCATGTTGAAGGGGATACTTGGAGCTGGTCAGGCAGTGGGCAACCAGCCACTTGCCCCAGCTGTAAGGGAGGAGATCCTTGATCCGGGATGTTTCCACACAGGCTGCAGTGAAAGCCCCACGAGCTCCTCTCAGCACTCCTGTTGTAGCCAGCGTACTAGGTGTGGGGTACACAAGTGTGCCTGCACACACAGGTATGCAGACAGAAGTGGGTATGGGCAGATGGGGCCACAGGTGTACGTGGATACAGGTGCACACAGGTGTGGAGGGGTGGAGATGTGTGGGCAGTGGAGACAGGTGCGCAGGCCTCACTCTTCTGGCACCTGGCCATACTCGGGAGCTTTCTTCCAGGGGCAGCCGGTGTCCCCTGACTCCTGCCCAGCTGCCGCCTCTTGGAAGTATCTGGCCAAGAGGCTCGTGGAGGCCTGATGGAGTGGAGCTGAGGTCTCACAGAGGCATGCGGGGCCTGATGCTTATGGGGTGGGGGGTTCCAGGCCACTCTCTGCCAGTGGAACCGTCTCCCTGCAACCATGTGGGAAGAGCCAGCTCTACGAGGGGTTGGGGACTGTGTCCAGCCCACCTGGACAGCCCCGCTGAGCTTGGGGCCTCTACTGGGGCCTGGTTATGGGTACTGCTCAGCATGCAGCCCTGGACTGTGAGGGTCCCAGAAGGGCTCAGCCCGTGGCTGGGGGGCAGACTTCCTGCCTGACCTCACTCCAGGTAGGATAGGGCATGCTTTGCCCATGGCACTGGGCCATGAGGGCCGAGCAAGGACGGTCGTGGAGCATTGCCCTGCTACGCCCTGGAAACAGCTGTGGAGACCGCGGGGTTTAGCAGAGGTGGGCCGTACCGCAACAAAAGCACCTGGGCACCACCCAGCCTTGGGCCAGGACATGTGCAGGGGAGGTAGGGGGCCTGGGGCTCCTGAGCCCACCAGCCCGGTCGTGTGGATCCAGAACAGGCATCCGTATGGGCAGTGGCTCTCCTCATCAGCGCCAGGCTGGCATCCGCCTGCCCTCAGTGGGGTAAGGGTCATTGTGGCCGCCACGTCACGCTCCTCGTCTGCACGTGGGAATTTAGACTGGGCCGGAGCCATGCCAGTGCTCTGGTCCTCCCGCACTGCGGGCCTGGCTGTGTGTCCAGCCTGGGCTCAGGACAGGAAACAGTGGTACAGCACACGTCAGGAGGCTGGTCAGGCCCTGGGGGGTGGCTGGCTCTGCTCCCACAATCCGTCCTGCTGCTGGACCCCCAGGTGCCTGTGGCGGCCTTCTCAACTGGGCTCTGCATCTCTTGGGCTTGGGGCAGTGGCAGGTGATGTCTCCATGTGCACAGACTCAGGCCCCCCACCAGCGCCGCCAAGAGGTAGGTGGCCGACAGTACCAGGAAGTAGGCGAAGTAGACCTGGAACTGGAAGAGAGGGTGGGGGGGGTGAGTGGGCAGGGACTTCTCCCCTAGACATCTGGGGGCACTGCCCACCCTGAGGGCTTCCAGACGCAGGGCACAGATGGCTGAGGGTTGGGCGCTGGTTCCTGTGGTGCTCCCTGCTGCCCTAGTCAGCTCCACCACCCTCCCCCTGACCCCCACTGCTGTCTCCACGGTCCCTGCTGTTTCTGCTGTCCTCCCTGCATTCCCTGCAGGCCCATGCACTAGGGACACCTCAGTGACTCGGCTCCAGGCGGGGACATGTCCTGGGACTTTCTCTGCTGAAGCTCTAGTACCAGAGAATCAGAGACCCGCTCTCCTAGCTCAGGTGCAGTGACTGGAGGACGGGGTGTCGGTCACGGGGGACCAACACCCATGGAAACCAGCACACGAGATCCACACCTGACACCATATGTGAGATCCACACCAGAGACCACACGCGAGATCCACACCCAGAGACCACATGTAGATCCACACCTCACAGACCACACGCAAGATCCATATCCAGAGACCACACACGAGATCCACACCCAGAGGCCACACTCAAGATCCATACATACAGACCACATGTGAGATCCACACCCAGAGAAACCAACATTCGAGAGCCACACGCACAGACCACATGTGAGACTCCCACTCACCTGCAGATATATGGCCCAGCTCAGTGCTCCCCCTCCCTGCAGACTTGGGGGTTTTCCAGACCAGGGGTCCCACAGGAAGGGGGGTGCAGGCTGACAGAGCTGCTGGTCCTGAACTGGGAGCCTCCAGATGCGGCAAGAACTGAACTAGACTGTGGGCTGAGGGTGACAGACAGGCAGACCCAGGAAGGCCACTGTCCATATCAGCCCTGAGAACTCAGACAAGACCACAGGGACAGGCATGGGTGTAGGTGTGGTCTCTCAAAGCCACAGAAGGGCCTGAGCTCCACAGCAAAGTGATGAGATAGATCAGCAATGACTGTGGTTCTCACTGGAGACCAGAGATGCGGGACGGGGAGTGGAGGGGCGGGGTGCTTCCCATGTCACAGGATCACCGGCCCAGGAGTCTGTCGAGAAATGTCCTCAGAGAAAGGGGCCCTCAGGGGTGAGGGAAACAGGCACGGACTGGCCTGTGGCGCACGTGAAGGTTCTGCATAGACAGCAGCAGGACAGGTGAACATGGAGCCTGAGAGCACGGCCGGGTCCACAGGCAGCCCCTGATGAAAACCCGAAAGGTAAAGAATAGGGAGATGAGCTAATGATGGAGCTGCAGAGCACTGGGAGGGCCCCCAGCCCTGAGCAGATGGCATTAGGGGTCCCCACCAGGGCAGTCGGCATCAGGGACCTGCGTGCCCATCTCAAAACCCTAAATGTACAAGAGCAAAATGAGTTCAAGGCCGTGCAGAAGGAAGGAGCCTGTGTGCCGGCAGGAACGAGGCAGATCAGGCGATAATGAGGGTCACGCAGAACTGCTGCTGTTGCAGCGGGCGGTGAAAAGCAGCTCAGACATGCAGCCCCACGGGGGGCCCGCAGCCCTGCTAAACGGGACCGATAGGGCCGTGGCAGAGGCACCAGACACTTGGGCATGTGCGTGCATGCACGTTCCCCCTGCATATGGGCACCAGGGCAGAAGGGTGGACAGCACCTGTACGCTGAGAAGTGAGGCTTAAAGGCAAACAGCCCCTGCACCTCACCTGAGCCCGTGGCCACCAGAACTAAGACTAAACTTCCGTGAGGGCTGTCCCGTGAGATGCTGGCGCTGTTCTGGACTACATGGGATAGAGCACGTAGGTGCTTGGAGAACGAAGGCAGGCGTGGGGCTGCAGAAAGCGGAGAACCAGGCAGGTCTCATGCAGGCGGCAGGACCCACACCATGAAGGGTCAGCTCCCTGCAAGGCCTTTGCCCTTTGGAACAGAGCAAAGTCCAGTGAGACTGTTTGCTCTGCGCTGCCGGGGGCTGAAGCCAGGGCCTCATTCTGGCGGCAAGGCGCCCCTGCTGCCTGGAGCCCTTCCAGCAGGAAGCCCTCCAGGTCTGCGGGGACAGACCCAGGGCAAGTCGAAGAGACAAGCACAAATAAAGTTGATGGTGGGGCTGGGGAGAGGACTGGGTCCCCACCACCAGGTACAGCCTCGGCTGAACACAGTTTAAATATGAAAACACTCTAGCCTGGGAAGTTGGTGCAGGAGTGAGATGCTGACACGCTGCCAGCCCAGGTTCCACCGACCCACCCACCCACCATCTCCCCCAGACCCTTGGTACAGGGGTGCTTGGGCTCCCAAAAAGGGTCTCAGAGCCCTGCCGAAGTACAAAACAAGGAAATCAAAAAACAAAACAAGGAAACCAACTACCTGGGACTGGAAGGAGGGTCCACCCAAATTTCACAAGAGGCCTGGGGCCTGCAGGGTGGGGACAGCCCAAGGCACAGGTGAGGTGAATCTCCCGATCTCAGCACAGAACAGTGGAAACTGATCGGAGGACAGAACAGTGGGCAAAACTCAGCTGCCTGGGCTTGATCCCTGATACTCCATAGGAATGAGGAGTGATCCCTGAGCACCTCAGGTGTGGGCCCCCAAACATCAGAAACCAACGGAAACCTGTGAGCGCTTCATCATCAAAGCCAGGGCCAGAACAGGGCGAAGGCGCTGGGAAACCCCACTTGGCTAACTCGAGGGACGGTGCTGAACTGGGCCCAAGACTCAGAGATGCACACGCAGCAGAAAGCAGAGAACCAAGCAGGTCTCACGCAGGTGGGAAGCCATACGGAATGACCCTCATGGCCTCAGGAGACAGCACGGCCCTGGGTCCCGCCCATGAGCCTGGGGTGAGTGCGGGAGCCTCTGAGTTTGGCTCCAGACTGTGGAACACGAGGCCATGCAGGGTGGGTGCCCACCCTGAGGTCTGGGGCCCTGGACTGGGCATTCCTGGGAGTTATGCAGCTGCCCGCAGGAAGCCTGAGCACGAGCAGCCTCACCAGTCAGGACGTGGGCACCGGGAGGTCCAGGGCACCGCACACCCCAAGGCTTGGGGGAGGATGGTGGGGTCCCCTGCCTGCAAGCCAGGGTGGTCTCTCACACTCTGAAAACAGTCCTGGTGCGGCCTTCGGGGGATGGGTGGGGGAGGGGCTTGGCATGTGTGGACATCTTGAGCCCTGACCCTCTAACCCAGACTGACCCCAGGAGCCCCAGGGCAGGGAATTGGGCCAAGCGGGCTTCTGTGGTCAGGGTCTGTGCTGGCCGGGCCCCCACCTGTTTCTTCACGGGGAGCCCCAGGCTGCTCTTGTCAGACACAATCAGGGTGATGACAGTCTTGAGGATGGTGGCCAGGAAGGTGTTGATACCGAAGACCAGGGCACAGAGCTCCTTGGAGAGGGAGGACGCAATCTGAAACCTGGGGGACAGCAGGGTCAGACTGTGCAGGAATGGAGGCCTGGGGCCCTGAAGACAGAATGGGGGACAGACGGGCCTCCGGCTCACCGCACACACCCTGGGGACCCTGGGACCAGGATGGACACCAGAAGAAAGGCTCTGGAACCTGAGTCTGTCCTGGCTCAGAGTGATGAATGCAGTGTGAGTAGGGAGCTGGAGATCGCACAGTGCCAACTTGAACTTGACCCCAAGCATCTGGATGGGTACTGAGCTGGGCAGAGGAGTGGACAGGCAGGGCACTGAATAGCCTGTCCACCGTGCATAGGGCAGCACCCAGGTGAGTGCTCCAGACATCCTCCTCACTGAGCTGGCCCCTTCTGCAAGACTGTGCCTCAGTCACCCTGTTCCCAGAACCAGGAGTGAGTCCAGAGCACAGAGCCGGGAGTGACCCATGAGCACAGAGCAGGGAGTGAGCCTGGAGCACAGAGCCAGGAGTGACTCATGAGCACAGAGCAGGGAGTGAGCCCAGAGCACAGAGCCAGGAATGACCCATGATAGCAAAGAGCAGTGAGTGAGCCCCGAGCACAGAGCTGAGAGTGACCCATGAGCACAGAGCTGGGAGTGACCTATGATCACAGAGTAGGGAGTGAGCCCTGAGCACAGAGCCAGGAATGACTCATGAGCACAGAGCTGGGAGTGAGCCCTGAGCACAGCTGGGAGTGAGCCCTGATCACAGATCAGGGAGTGAGCCCCGAGCACAAAGCTGGGAGTGAGCCCCAAGCACAGAGCTGGGAGTGATCCCAGAGCTGGAGTCAGCCCCAAGCACAGAGCCGGGAGTGAGCCCTGAGCCCTGCTGGGTGTGGCCCCAGACACAGAGGAAAATAAATACTAAAAATACACCCAGAAACAGAACAAGACATAGGACATATGTGTTAGGCCAAGGCTGTAGAGGCCCAGGACTGAGGCCCAGTGACCCACATGCTGCCTGAGGCTGAGTCACGACACAGGAGGGCAGTGTCTGTCCGTCTGTCCCACTGGACGCCAAAGGTCGCCCGGGCTGGCTGAGCACCACACCTGGCCTTGCAAAGGGGACCTGTATCTCTGCGCTCACAGTCAGGGCCGGGAGGGCGCCTGGCTACAGGCAGGACAGCAGCCCTGAGGACATCAGGCAGGAGCTTGGCTAAGCTCAGGGTCCCTGCTGTGGCCGGAACTACAGGTGTCAAAGGGGCCACGCCCCCCACAGGACGCTCCAGATGGGGACTCTTGTGGACTCACGTGGCAATGGGCACGAGGAACTGGTAGGCGCCGCGGAAGAGGACGAAGGCCGTGTAGCAAGGCCAGATGGTCGAGTTGTACATGAGGAAGACCAGCCCGGCTTGCGCGGCCGTCACACACGCGATGACCAGCTTCCCCCACAGCGCCCAGCGCAGCTTCAGGAAGCCCGCGGCAAAGGATGTGATGGCACCTGCAGGGGCAGGACAGGCCGGGGCTGCAGAGGTGGGGAGGGCAGTGGGGGGGGGGAGCAGTGCAGGGCAGGGGTGCAGCTGCGCTGTGTGGGGAGGTGGAATGGGCGGCTCACCCAGCAGGGTGGAGGCTGCATCGGCCCCGCCGTTGTAGTTGACATTGGCGTCCACCTCGTTCCAGAGGATGTGCACGTAGTAGACGACCAGGTAGTAGCCAGCTGAGCTGAACACCCACCAGAAGGACCAGAGCCGCAGCTGCGGCCGCCGCGCGCTGACCGCCAGCTCCCGCATCATGCATACCAGCGTCCAGTCCCGCCAGGCCGCCCGCCGCCCTCCTGGCCGCCCCTGCCCTGGTTTCATGCGGCACAGCTCGGCAGGTGTGGCCCCCTCGGCTGGGGCCGCCCTGCGGTGGAAGAAGAGACTGCGCTTGGGCCGCCTGAGGAAGAGGGAGAGGACCAGGCTGAAGAGCAGGAGGCCCAGTGAGAGCTGGTTGAGCGTGGAGAAGGGCAGCTTGGCGGCCGTGACCAGCACCTGGCCCAGCATGGAGCTGGTGAACACACCCAGCAGCACGGCGGCCCGCGAGTAGCCGGCCATGCGCTGGTAGCGGGCGGGTGGCACCAGCGAGAAGATGTAGGAGGAGTAGGCGATGCGCGAGGCCATGGTGAGGCCGTAGAAGAACTCCATGAGCTGCATGTGCAGCACCGAGTGGCCGAACAGCAGCAGCAGCCACACGCACACGAAGCTCAGCGCCTGCAGCACCAGCACCGGCGTGTAGCGCACCAGGTCCGTCACCAGGAACACGGGCACCAGCACCACCAGGTATGAGTAGGACAGCACTGGCGTGATCTCATTGGTGACCTGCGGAAGGCGCCGTGAGCTCAGGGGACCCAGCCTGTGAGGCCACCCCTGGTTGGCTTCACAGACGAGCCCTGGCCCTGTCTGTGACTGGGCGGTGCTGCCAGCCCATGTGGACACGGAGAGGTTGTGCAGAGCTGGACACCGCAGCCCTGACCTGATCCCCAGGACCTTCCACTGAACCCCCAGGTCTCTGGACCCTGAGTGTGAGCACTGAGTCCCAGGGTACTTGGGACATTCCAGAGTAGGTCACGGGCCTGGTGGGGAAGCTGAATGACCGGCATTTGGTCACCAAGAGCCACGGGGGCCCAGCCACAGGGGTCCAGATCCTGTTTATGGAAAATTCCGGAAACATCAAAGCAGTTTTCAGGCTACTTGGCAAACAGCCCTGCATGCAGCAGGTGCGGAGCCTGTCAGGGCCTGGGTCAGCTGGCCCCTCTGTCTCCAGCCAGGCCTGGCTGGCTCCCCCTCCCCTTCCAGCCTGGACAGTCCCTCTGCCCCCCTCCCCCCCAGGCCTGGCTATGGCTGGCCCTTCTGTCCACACTACTAGCCCACAGGCCTGGCTGGCCCCTCTGTCCCCCACCTCAGGCCTGGCTGGCCTCTGCATTTCTGCTGCCCCTCCACTCCGCTCCAGCCCCAGCTTGGCTGATGCCACACTTGGCAGGTGCTAGGTGCTGGCACCCAAGTCCCCAGGCGGCAGGAAGGAGGAGATACTCTGGCCACGTGCCATGCTATCAGATGGGCAGGTGTCCAGGGGCTGTGTGGTGTGGGGGAGCCAGCCAGCAGGAGCCGAGGGATGCCCGGCAGGCAGGTCTCCCAACATGTTGCCAGGACTGAACAGGAGCACAGGCTTGTCTGTGGGAAGAAGCCGCTGGCCGGCTGCAGGGAAGGGGCCCAGGTTCCCGGAGCCAGGAGCCAGCCTCAAAGTACCTCCCTGCGACAGCCAGGCCCGGCCCCCAGACATGTATGCATGCACACATGCACATGCAGGCACACAGACTCCCAGGCTCTGAGACGTGCACTCTGCACCATATACACTCAGCATGTGGGCACACCCACCCGGGCATTGCAAACCAGCGTGCACATGCAGAGGAAGAACACCACACATTCTGCACATGTGCACACACATGCACACATGCACGCACACGTACACATACACAGGCATTGCACACCCATGTGCACATGCATAGCAAGAGCATCACACATTCTGCAGGTGCACACACGCAGGCACACACAGCACACATGCAGGAAACAGACACAGCCTCGGGCTTGGGTCTTGCTTGCAGGTGCCTCCCAGGGGTCCAACCCAGGACACTGCCTCGGGGATCCAGCCCGGGGTCAGCAGAGCCTCGTCCCAACTCCCCCGCGCCACTTGCCTGTCTCTTGGTGAAGTTCTTGTTTGGGGACAGCAGGTAGGGCGTGATGAAGCTCTCTCCGGGCCGCAGCTGTGCCATGAAGCCGTACAGGCACAAGTAGCCCACCAGGCAGCGCCACGCCCACTGGTCCCCGGCCGGCCCGGGCTCTGTGGGCACCTGCTTCTGCTCCTCGGACGTCGACATGTTGGTCGGGCTGCCTGGGGGCAGGGAGGACGGGTGGGGCTCGGCGCCTGGAAGGAAGAGCCACATCAGAGATGCCCACGTCACAGTGCCCGGAGAACGTGACCCTGTAGGCCATGGGGGTCCCTGCAAGAGCACACGGACGTGTGACTCCTCACAGCGTCCATGCACTCCAGTGCGGGGGACAGCTGCTGCCGTGGTCCCCACCCCACCCCACCCCCAGCCCCAGTAGTCCAAAGCAGTCTGGGAGCAGCCTGGGAGAGGAGGTGGGGGGGGGTCGGCTGGGTCCGGGTCCAGGGGGATGCCCACAGGTGGGAGGGGCCATGAGCTGGGTCCCCGAGAGTGGTGGCACCACAGTCCAGCCTAGCAGGTAGGGCCCACCAAGCATCATAGCTGGCCAGGTCCCCCCCCAGCCTCAGTGCTGAGTGCGGCTTACAGGAGTCCAAGGTTTCCGCCCCCAGCGGCCTCGGTGCTGGACTGTTTATAGGGCCCGGGTTTCCGGCCCCCCTGCCCCAGTCTGTGCACCGGACATGGCTCCTGGGGACCCAGGCTTCCGGCCTAGACGCTGCTGCCAATCTCTGACGCCAGGAGGGTGCCTGCACACAGAGGACACAGCACTGGGAGGCCTGGGTCTGGGGGGGGGGGGCGCGGGGGGTCCTGAGGACAGATGCCGGAGAGTTCTGAAGTGAGGGCCCTGGGGCCCTGGGACACAAAACCAGCAGCTGGATAGGGGGTCCTCCAAGAGCACCCAGGCCTGCGAGGGTGCCCCCAGGGGAAGCCCTTCAGCATTAGCATGTGGGTAGGTCAGCCTCAGCGCTCCGTACAGGGAGAAGAGGCTGAGCTGCTGCAGGGCCACTTACTCCCCCCCAGCTACCCCTGCCCCCATGGACCCAGCACAGATCACTAAGAAGGTGCCTGGGCCCCACCCCTCGAGGGCTCATCTCTCAGGGCTCAGGGGACAGTATCTCTCAGGTCTCAGGGGGACCCCATCTCTCAGGGCTAAGAGAGACCCCACCTCTTAGGGCTGTGGAAGACTCCATCTCTCAGGGCTGAGGGGGACCCCATCTCTCAGGGTTCAGGAAGACCCCATCTCTCAGGGCTGAGGGAGACCCCATCTCTCAGGGCTAAGAGAGACCCCATCTCTTAGTGCTGTGGGAGACTCCATCTCTCAGGGCTGAGGGGGACCCCATCTCTCAGGGTTCAGGGAGACCCCGTCTCTCAGGGCTGAGGGGGACCCCGTCTCTCAGGGCTCAGGGGGACTCCATCTCTCAGGGTTCAGGGGAACCCCCTCTTCAGGGCTGAGGGAGGCTCCATCTCTCAGGACTCAGGGAGACCCCATCTCTCAGGGCTCAGGGAGACCCCATCTCTCAGGGCTGAGGGGGGACCCCCTCCCCCACCTCATTTCCCGAGGTCCAGGAATGTCCCATCCACCGCTGTACTTGCCCTCTGAGTGGGTCATCCTGGGAGTGTGTGCTCAGCTCCGTGTCCAGCTCTGGGCTTTCACGGCCGCAGCCTGGACTCACAACCTCTGACCGGGGGCAGGGCTTTTTAGCCATGGGCTGGCTGGGCAGGGACTGGGCCGGGGCAGGACAAGGGCGGGACTATCCCAGGGCCAGTCCACAGGGCCTCTGCATGGGGAGGGGCAGGGCCTGTCCCCACCAGAGGGCCCAGCTGGTCCCCACATCACCACCACCGCACAGCGGGGATGGCCTCAAACAGGAGGAGGCCTGGGTCAGGGCCCAGCAGATGGTCAGGAGCCGACCGTGAGCTCAGACGAGGGGGTGCAGGCTGCTGTGACAATGTCCCCAGTCCCAGCAGCTAAGGGGCTGTGTCACCACATGCAGCCCCCCCCCCCCCCCCCACTGGGACTCCCATCCCTGGAGGTAGTTACGGGGCTCAGCAGGGCCTCTCTGAAAAGTCCACACCAGTGGCCACTGGGGCATACTGTGCACCCACCCTATCCTGCTCAGAGACATGGGAGGAACCAGGAAGACCCCTGACCCGTATCTGGCCAGTCATTCCCTGAGGCAGCTGGAGGAGGAGTCCCCATAGGGGTCTTCGGGACAGGGTGTGTGAACCTGGGACTGTGTGAGAGAATCTCGGGCAGCGTGCGTGCATGCGTGCGTGTGTGTGTGTGTGTGTGTGTGTGTGTGAGAGAGAGAGAGAGAGAGAGAGAGAGAGGGAGAACCCAGGAGAGTATATGTGTGAGAACCCGAGACAATGTTTGTGAGAACCCGGGACAGTGTGTGTGTGTGTGTGTGTGTTTGTGTGTGTGTGTCTGTGTGAACCCGGGACAATGTGTGTGTGTGTGTGAGAACCCCGGGCAGTGTGTGTGTGTGTGTGTGTGTGTGTGTGTCTGTCTGTCTGTCTGTGTACACCCGGGACAGTGGACAGTGTGTGAGAACCTGAGACAGGTGTTTGAGAACCCAGGACAGTGTGTGTGAGAACCTGGGACAGTGTGTGTGTGCGTGTGTGTGTGTGTGTGAGAGAACCCGGGACAGTGTGTGTGTGTGTGTCTGTCTGTCTGTCTGTGTACACCCGGGACAGTGGACAGTGTGTGAGAACCTGAGACAGGTGTTTGAGAACCCAGGACAGTGTGTGTGAGAACCTGGGACAGTGTGTGTGTGCGTGTGTGTGTGTGTGTGTGTGAGAGAGAGAACCCGGGACAGTGTGTGTGTGTCTGTGTGAACCCGGGATAGTGTGTGTGTATGAGAACCCCGGGCAGTATGTGTGTGTGTGTGTGTGTGTGTGTGTGTGAACCTGGGACAGGTGTGTTTGAGAACCCAGGACAGTGTGTGTGAGAACCTGGGACAGTGTGTGTGTGAGAACCCGGGACAGTGTGTATGTGTGTGTCTGTGTGAACCTGGGACAGTGTGTGTGAGAACCCCGGGCAGTGTGTGTGTGTGTGTGAACCTGGGACAGGTGTGTTTGAGAACCCAGGACAGTGTGTGTGAGAACCTGGGACAGTGTGTGTGAGAACCTGGGACAGTGTGTGTGTGAGAACCCGGGACAATGTGTGTGAGAACCTGGGACAGTGTGTGTGAGAACTCAGGAGAATGTGTGTGAGAACCTGGGACAGTGTGTGTGTGTGTGTGTGTGTATGTGAAAACCCAGGACAGTGTGTGTGTGAGAACCTGGGACAGTGTGTGTGTGTGTGTATGTGTGTGTATGTGTGTGTGAGAACCCGGGACAGCGTGTGTGTGTGTGAACCTGGTACAGTATGTTTGTGTGTGAGAACCCAGGACAGTGTGTATAAGAATTCGGGGCAGTGTATGTATGAGAATCTGGGAAAGGGTGTGTGACAACCCAGGATTATGTGTGAAAATCTGGACAAGTGTATGGGAACCAGGTACAATGTGTGAGAACCTGGGACAGTGGATGCGTGAGCCTAGAAGAGTTTGTGAGAAGCCAAGACAGTGTGTGTGAACTTGGGACAGTGTTTGAGAA